TCCTTTTCTTCCCCTTCCCCCCTCATTGGCTCACATGCGCTCCGACCAGACCAGTCCCCCTTCCCCTCTTCCCGAGCTGCAGCTTCAATGCTGTCTTCTGAAGTGAATTCCCCTTGGGGGAGGGTGGTGCTGTGCCCCAGGTTGGTAATGGGGCCAGCCCCTCAGGCCTCTCCATTGATTTCTTACTTCATGTCAGTGTGTTGTGTTCCTGTCTTGGAGCTCCGGGTTGAAGTCTGGTCCCTCTTTCCCTGTGGAGGCACATATCTTATCACCAATCCTTTGCCCAACTGGTGGGACCAAAAACTGTGAAGTAGGCACAAATAAAAACATGTTCTTAGTAGGATACTACCGCATCCTCCAGGGTTCCAAATGTTACAACATATACCGTATTCTCAGGGGTCTGCTTCCTGGAGCGAATCTGGCCACCTGAAAAAAAAAAAATCCCCACCAGTGGTATTTTAAATTATTTGTTTAGTGAATATTTTTTTTTAAAGCTGTAGTCATATACATATATGTCTGCATAATGTAGTATCACTCTTTGGGGACTTACTGCCTCCTCACGTGCAGCATTCTTGTTACTGTAGAGTCGGGTGTGCTGACGTGTGACATGTGCTTCTTCTGTAGATCTGCAACTACGTGGGGCCTGCAAAGGTTATAGTCCAGCTGGTCACAAACGGAAAGAGCATCCACCTGCACGCGCACAGCCTGGTGGGGAAGCACTGTGAGGACGGGATCTGCACTGTGGCTGCTGGACCCAAGGACATGGTGGTCGGGTAAGTGCCCCTACACAGCGCTGCAGATGGCAGCAACGGGGGGAATGTGGGATGCGGGGCCTTAGACATGGCAGACCCTTTTGATGAGGGACCTTCCTGAGTTCCTCCAAAACCTGACAGCCGTCGGGTCAATGCTCACCCATAGCAAAGCTTATGTGCCACGGTAAAATTGGCCCTGTGAATTCTTAGACGTGAGTGTAACTGTTTGTGGGAGTAGAAAGCTCTGTCTTTCTCCTGCAGAGCGGCTGGTAGTTTCGAACCTACTGACCTTGTAAATCGCAGCCCGGTTCATAACTATGCGCCACCAGGGCTCCAGCCTGACTTCCTCAGAGAACCTCAAAAATACTCAAAAGCCTGTGCCCTCATTCGAACTCTGAAGAGTAAGGTGACCACACACCGGTTTGCTTCAAAGCAGCCACTGGTATTTGTGGCCTTGGTCTCCTGTATCGTGCCCCCTTTCACCCTCAGACGTGGTCCCTGTTGGGTGATAGGGTCACCTGGCCAACTAGGTGGCACTTTTAACAATAGTTGCGTCCTCCCAGAAATAAAGATCAGGAGGAAGGAGAAGTAAGAAACCTAAGTCTAGCAGAACTCAGTACTTGTTAGATGGCTTCAACCTCTTGATAATTCCTATAACAAACTGATATGTGACCCTTTGGGGCATGAGGTGGATAAATAAATACTGCTCCTGCTCTGCGCAGCTCAGAAAGTGTCCACGGATACGAAGCCAAGACGCCAACAGTTGTTTTGGCATTCAGTGGGCCCGTAGTAGGAACATGAAGAGACAAAGCCACTGAAGAGTTTGCCACACAAAGACCAAGAGCGTTTTTTAAATGAGGAAAGCTCCACTTACTGGATTGAATGGCTAAAACTCAGCCCAATCCAAAATAAGCAATTATGTTTCACATAATTCCTCAAAACGTCTTTCAAGGTTTCCTAGCCCTGTGTTAAAAAGTACATACTAAAATTCCAGTTCATCTGGGTTGTTCACGCACAAGAAGGGCCTTGTCTGAATCAACTGTGATTAAACTGATGGTGGCATCTTGGGCTTTGAATGGAGAGCAAGGTTCCGGTTGGTGGTGGTTGGGGAGGCTGAGCTCTCGTGTCCCTGGGTATTTCCTTGTTTGACTGTGGAAATATTCAAGTGCGAAAAACCTAGAGAGAGAGCTTTCACCTCACTCATAACTGATTCTTTGGATGTTAGGGCAAAACACACACACTCTAGATTGAAGGAAGCAGCTTAAATTGATTTGAAAAATTCAAGTGTGCATTACATGAACTTGTTTTAGCATCCTCTTGAGAGATTGGCCTATTTCCTGTTCTGTATCATTGTTGGTTCACCCTCAGTTTTGGAATACCTTTTCCAGTTCCTGACTGGTCTGTCAGTCAGAGCTTTAAAATGCAGGGTAATTGTCTCAGTTTCAGACGAATTGATCTCTTAGTGTTTCTGTAGATTTACTCCTTCGGTGTGAAGTCTTTCTTCTCCTTGATTTGGTTTAATCCTTTAGAGGAAATCCTAGGTGAAGTTCCCTGCAACAACCTTTGTTATTATAAAAATGTAAGTATATTGAGTGTCATTAGTTCCTATGTCCTGGTTTAGCACTATTTCAGGAATTTAGACCGGGACAGATAAGCATTGGCCGGCTACTTGCACTGTGGGCAATTCAAACCCATCAGCTGGTCAATGAAAGAAAAATGGGACAATCTGCTCTCATAAAGATTTACCGCCTCAGAAATCCTTCTCTGGCATCTAAGCCTGCTTTTAGTCAGAATTGATGCCATGGCAGTGGTTTATGAGTCAGAATGAACTCGATGGCAGTGAGTTTAGGAACTCTGGTGGCACGATGGGGTAAGCATGGAACTGCTAGCCACATGATCAGCGGTTCAAACCCGCCAGCCTCACCTCAGGAGAAAGATGAGGCTCTCGGTTTCTGTAAAGATTTATAGCCCTGGAAACCATACACACGGTTGCTTTTGAGTCAGAATCTACTCCATAGCAGTGGATTTGGATTTGGGTTAATGGCTATTCAAATCACAGGAGCCCGGCTATTTCCGCTTTTCTCACCGTCAGTAGTAGAACTGGGGACAAATTGTGTAACATCCTGGAGCCTTAGTTTCTGCCTCTGTAAAGTGTGAAAGGTGGGCTGCAGAATTTATCTCCAGGCCCATTTCCATCTTCAGAATTCTAGACTGAACTAACACTAGCTCATAATGTGAAATGGCGTGAGCAAACTTGCCACCTATGTATTCATGATACGGCATTGATTATTATTATTTAGTTCTAACCTAATACCTCATACAGAAATTCAGGAAGACAGCCAGAGTTATTCTTTAGACTTGTCAATACTAGAAATGGAAGGAACTGAAATAACCTGTTTTCCATAATGTAACTTGAACTGAGAGTGTAGATTCACAAACTGGGCACTGATTCAACATAACAAAAAGATACATTTAAAAAAAAGGTATGAGAAAATAAATAATCTTTAAATTGCCAAAACAGAAGGAATGACTTTTCTTTGGAATGTTTCTCTTTGTCTTTCTCTCATCATAAATTCTCAGTGAAGCTTAGTTTCTATTTTCAACGGTACTTCCGATATATTTAAATTGCAAAGAAAATGTTGATATTTTAGATAACTGAGTCATAGATTGTTTTCATTTTAGGATATTGTCTTTTTAGTTTTTTAGCTTAGCTTTAATTTTGCCTTTAAAAAATCCGTATTCATTTTAAAAAATCTGTATTCATTTTTTTAATGTCTCTCCTGATAAAAATTGTCTTAGTTTGATGTTTTAGTTAGACCCTGAGTATCAGTTATTTGTTTCAACAACATTTAGCTCTTTGAAATTCCCCTTTGATGAAAATTCAATTCTCTCCTGATTGTTGCTTTAGGCCACCTTCACCCATAGTTACCACACTCTGCTCTCTGCTCACTGGCAGCCTGCCAGAGAGGGTCCTTTTTCTTTCTTTCTTTCTTTGTCAGCTAATATTTACAGCATATCCCAACTAGACAAGAAGCAAGGCCTCCCTCAGTGAGTTAGTGCAGGCCATTTGACACTGCTGCGTTTGTAGATCCCAAACAATGGGATATTGAAAATTCCATACGCTTAGCCTTAGTACCCTGAAAGGAAGCCAGCTGGAGGAAATAAGCCGAGTATGGACTGAAGTTGGAAGACCCGCCTCCCAAAGGCCTGTGAGTCGGGCTGCTTTGAAGGCCTGTGCCTGCAGTGAAGTCTGTGTTTTCAAGTCCAGAGAAGAGACTCGGGGAACGCAGCCACGAGGCAACAGCAGTTCCCAGATGCTTGTGACGATGGAGGTACATGGTACAATGCAGAGTTTCAAGCCTGGCTGTTCATTATAAATATTTGTACTTTATCAAGTGAGCCACTTTATAAAAATACGGATGCCAAGCCCTAACCTGATCTCATTCCTCTAGAGTTAACGGTAGAGAGAATGGTTCTCAAAGCTTAGCATGTCTCCAGATCACCCGCAGGCTGTGTTAGCACAGATCCCCGCTCCCAGAGCGGCTTCAGTAGGTTTGGGGATTTACATGTGTAACACGTCCCCAGGTGATGCTGATGCTGTTTAAAAATATAGTATTTTAAGAAGCAGGATTGTAGTCCTAGTCCTGTTATTAGCTATGATTTTTTTAAGGTGGTCAGATTTAATGGCGTAATTTAATGATCACTTTCTTAAAGTACCGTTCTGTGACTTGTGACGTGCATAGACTCATACAGTCACCATAATCAAGATATTTTATGGTTCCAAATCCCTCATAATTCCTTTGCTGTCCCTTTAGACTGAGCCAACTCTCCGCCCCTCCCCCTCCAGGCCCTGGCAACTGCCTCTCTGTTTCTATCCTGATAGCTTTACTTCTTAGAGAATGGCATATAAATTGAAACATATACAGTATAAGTTTGGTATCTTTTACTCACATAATGCATTTGAGATTCATCTATGCTGCATTTATCAATACTTTCTTCCTTTTAATTGCTAAGTAGAATTCCATTGGGTCTACATATCACAGTTTGAACTATGTAGCTGAACTTACAACTACATACAGTTTGGGGTTTTTGGGGTTTTTTTAGTGAGAAAGCTATTTTTTGTGGGAACATAAATTTTCATTTATCTTCAGTACATAGTGAAATTTCAGAGATGTATGGTATGTGTACACTTGCCTTGAAAAGAAAGTACTAAATTGTTTTCCACATGTATTTGTCTAGGTACTTTGGAGAAATAAATCCACAGCGACTCAGGTATAAGAGAGAGTTTTATGTAAAGAAAAGGTGCATCATGAAAACATCCCAACCCAATGCTGCCCAAGCCCACAAGTCCAACATTAACCCATTAACCCAACACCAGTCCACAAAGTCCTTCACCTCACAAAACAGAGGCAATAATGCCGACTGCAGGAGGGAAGCTGAGTCAGTGAACGTGTAAGCATCTCAGCACTGGCAGGGGTCTCCACACGGCTGCTCCAGCACCCAGGGCTGCATCGGGATAGATCCACGCGGCTTCTCCTTGGGGATGTCTTGTAGAAAATCCATCTTGCAAGCTGAAGCAGGGAACTGCTAAGGCAGCTGCACCCGATACAACCATCACAAAACAAGAGACCCGAGAACTAGAAAGGCGAGGCTTCACCACCCATTTATCCCTCCGCCTTTCAACCAGCACCACATGTGATTATCGGCCAGGCTGGCACAATTAACTAACTCACACATGATAGTACTCTTTTTATTAAGATTCATGATCCTCAGTTTTTCTATTACATGCATTAATAATAACGTGAGCCCATTTTACTGTACATGTTTTTACAGAAATTAGCAAACAGAAGTAGAAAGAATTACATAATGAACCTTCTTCATTCTATCTATTATTTAGCTCCAAAAATTAATTATTCCATGTCCAATCTCAATTTAAATATACTCTCACATGGATGGCTTTCTGTTTGAATAGTTGTAAATTTGTTAATGGTTTTGTTTGGCAGGTCAGAGTATCTCTCTCT